ATTTCTCACGCTGTTGTCAGTTTGTTTGGCTGCCATAGCTTTAACGCAACATTATAATTGTGACTTATTTGACGCATAGATGAGGCAGAACCTACACGCAGTGTCCAACCACACGACGTGTGCTTGAACATGATCCACCAATCAGTCAATAATCGTTGTGCCAAGCGCTGCCCGTCGTGACCCAGTGTCCGAAGGGTAGGAGCCTCGTTTAACATTAGAGTTGTCGCGGGTTCGATGCTTTCTGTCACCACCCGATGAGACCGAATAAGGTCGCGACGCGTCGTGGGATGCAGTGTTTTCGAACGAGTACCACCTAGCTTGCGTCTGTGTTCATACTATTTTTATCAGTTATCTAGTCGAGGGGCTTGTTGGGCTTCATTTCACCTCGGTTGCTGAGCGCTCGAGACGCATGAAGTGGTCGTCTGCGAAAGGTGTTTACTGACGCCGATTGCTATGTACTACACAATCTTGACTCACAGCTGTCTTGCTGCCATGCCCATATAGTCTCCTTGCAGTTACATGTGAACGGGAGTAGAACGTACAAGCGACTGGACACGGACTTCGGCCGTTTTCGCGATGGAGAGGCAAGCGAATTGTCGTGAAAAGTAATACTGACCTCGTCACGGAATACTCGCTTGTAACTGGGGCTGCAAAAGTTGCAGAAGCAACCAGCACGCACGGTAGCTGCTTAGTTACTCCTAACTTCGGTGTTCCGAGTAACTTTCCTCTGTCGAATTGGACAATGCGTCATCAGTTGTCAGGTTATTGTGGTGCAACACTTTACCTATTCGTTAGGTAGAGACTGCACTGGGCGTTATTTACCGCATAGAATAGATCATAATGATTCATATCAGCTTGCGACTGGTCGACCAGCTTATTGCATTTTCCCTTCTGCTTGCTATCTGTGGCACGCTATCTGAAAAATGGACTGGCTTCCATATTACTAGTATGCGCATCAGTCACCCGCTTAAATTCCACTATCTGTTTGCATAGGGCCTTAGGTGAAATCATTGGACAAGGTAATCTTTCTCGCTCCAACTACAAGGACGGACGGTTAATACCTTCGCCCGTAAAACTCATAATTTTGCGATGGGTGGATATACAATTCCTCTTATCCTCATACACCTCACTACTACTATCAGGACTCTAAAAGTGTCTACAGAAAGCCATTTCCAAATGCCACGACAACCAGTGTGGTGAATCCTGGTTAGCACATTGCCCCATATTTCCCCGACGTTTGTATTTCAACAGCTACGGATGTTCATTCGTGTTCTGCTTTTTCCGCACTAACAGTTGACAGAGTTACAGTCCGACGGATCGTGTAATACCTCAATCGGAACCTGACTCCACTCCTACGTAAATGCCGACTAACGACGGTCTGATGCAGTGTACCTTTCGAATCACCATGGATTCTGCAGTTTCTTAGTATAAGGCGATGTTTGTGACACTAGCCTGTACTCTCCGCGTTCTCACATGTCCCGGGCAACAAACAGAATCAATCGATCGTCGGAATTATCCACTTGGCCAGATCAGTTCTGATAAGCAACTCACAGTGACAGTTGATGCGCACCTCGGACAAGAACGGTGACATTTCAATGCCTACGAGTCACAAAGTTGATGAACGGAACCTAGGTGCCGAACACAGTTCGACAACCCGCCCGCCGTGGGTTGAACCACGGAATCCAAAGGCAGTCAGCGGTTCAGAGACGAAGCTTGACAACAGTGGATCTCAATGCATGACCCAAATGTCGGTTGTTACCACCCGTTGCGGTTCAGTTGCCTCAACCACGGACTCGTGAGAGTAGGGTCGTGGCTTGTAACCTTACGGGGGGCAAAGAGAATGATGCTGCCGACGATCCCCAAAAGAATGAAACAGTCATCCAGTGCTTTACTGGACGTGTGATGACTGTCTGACTGGGCCTGGATGGAATGAACCAGATGGAGCCTTATAAAAGTAGGTGGAACTGCGGACAGTAAGCGGTTGGTGTAGAAAAAAGCAAAATGGGTGGAGATATGTAAATACTCATTAACCCAACTTATTTGGCAATGCATGTGTGTGCAGCAGAAAACACATCACATCCAGCGGTGCCTTGGTAATGTAGCACATACCAAAAGCAAAGTGTTGCGCTTTGTGTTGCCTTCCCAGCTGGTCAGTTTCAGCAACATTTTTTTGTCAAGAGTGGATTTGGCTGTTTATCGCATTATGTGCAAGGCTCCCTGAGGACAAATGCTGCTGGTTACGTTTCATATTGCAACGTTGATGACCACGGAGCTGAAGGGTGATTGACTTTTAGCATTTAGCTTTGCTTCGCTGCGTTACATTCATCTGCCAGCTTTCTCCGCAACCCGCAATCGGTTGTTTCGATCCATGGCTAACTCTTTGCCTAGCGTGAACTGCTGCTTACTTCACAGCAAATTAGGTTTGGTAGGACCATTTGTCTTCCACGCATGGCTAGCTGAAGGAAAGCAAGTCACTTCCACTAATAGACGATAGGTGTACGGTCCACCCCTTAGCAAAGATAAGTGACATGGTAACACTTTATCAGTAAAACAGCCAGCCTACTTGCGCGTAATAACAATGCTAATATTTCTATGCTTTCTTACAATCTGCCTCCCATTTGTTGGCACGCTAAGGATAAAAGAGCGAAAGTTCTGTCCTACCAAAGAGGTATGTATCGGTGATGCTGAACGTTGGAAGATTGATAGTCCACTATCTGACAACACAAAGTAATCCCAGATCAATGTTCTTTTGGGCTGCGGATCTACCGCAACTTGTCCTTCTTCAAAAATAGTGCTGTCTTTACTAGATTTTATTGAAACCAACAAAATGCAATTCACGGTACCTGCATTCCTAGCTCCGTATAACGAATTTATTTGGAACTCTAATGTCTTAAAGTGGCAACACGAAATTTGATATATCAACTGAACTACCTACTCAAACGAACAATGGCACCGGGCTCTTTCTTCAAACCCAACGTATACTAGCATTAATTCCCCGAATTTAGCTCACATCTGCACTCTTGGGACCGCACTTAAGTTCAAGGAAATAGTGTGGGTCCAATGATCTTTCTAGTGAAATAGATTCTGTACTGGGTTTTTCTTTAGTAATGCTGGTTGGAGAGAGTGGTGCGCTGAGTACCATTGGAATTTTTTCTTGCAAACTTGAACATTTCTTGGTTAAGTCGGCTTGGTAATATGAAGTTAAGTGTGCTACACTTAAATACACTTGCACAACACCATTGGAATAGAAAACGCAACTGCAAACATCGCTTTTCACGAAAAAAGTAGTGATAGACGAAAGAATAAGAGCCGTACACTAGCTGTTCACAAGGAGGTTGTACGAAGAAACCTTAGGAAGCATAATTCCACGAGTATTCTAAACAGAGCAGTATTTGTCCTAGCAGTGAGCTGCCTGCCTTAACACCATTTGCTGTACATTTGCAAAAGGAATGACAACTACATTTCCATTGGGCGTCTGACAAATCTACAGCCTTTCTAAGTGCAGTGGGACTTACTGTAGCGTCCGTTTGCTCGGTGATATCATATCGCGCCAGCCAGGATGATCAGACAGCATTTGCAACTTCCTCCTCGTACTATGAAGATTGATAGCAGTCGTCTTTTAGAATACACATGCTTGATCACGGGATGTGTCTTAGCTGCCATGGAATTTAAACCATGATTCTGACTAATCCCACTGTAATTGGCATATATATCTTAGTGACAACCGAGTGACTTTTGCCAAAATCTCATACTGTAGCCATTGCAAAATTGGCATTCTGACCTACTACTTGCTATCACTTAAAATGACTCAGTGATGGACGTTAGTTATACAGACTAAGATAAGACTTCAACCAGGCTTCAAGCTCCCACGAGGGCAAAAAGTGGACGCTTGGTTGCGCACTAAGTCCCTTGGGACAAGAAATGATAATGCCTAAGCAGAATGAGACTGTAGTAGATTTGATGACCAAGATCAATGCGAATTTAGTATTGGGTCAGGTTATGCTTGCATATGGTAATCCCGACATACGGTGGGGGCTCTGCAAATCAGGGATAAACTTCAACCCCCGTTCTAAGTAGTACTCACTGTGCTCCATGGCCTATTGAGCGGGCAGTCACTTTTCTACTATTACTCAAGTTTCACTCCCGAGTCTGGTTCTCTTTACCCGAGGAGTCCAAACATGGGCCCAAGCAGTCAGGGGCATCGTGTTTGGAGCTAGCAACTCTCTACTAATAATGATTTGTTTTAGCAGCCAATTCTCCTATTAAGGACTCCATACAAAAATGTCATTCTAGAATGATCTGTCTACCTGCATTTATAACTAGATATTTGAGCTTCCTACCGTACGATGCGCATTGCGATAGAGTACGATAACAAACACCGTTCGTCCAAGGAGCTATATCAAACTATTGGTTTACATTCCTAAACCGTAGCTCAGACCTCGTTTCGTGTGTATATCAAACTTGCGCTCAGCAGAGAGAATGATGCGAATAGCGATAAGGTGCTCACATAGGCTGGTGTGTGTGCGCGACTCGAAATTCGCTTTAAGTGATCGGGTCTCAATACCTAAAAGTAAGGAAACAAAAAAGTAAGAAGACTTGTCTTTATATGCGCTGAAGGTCCACTGTTATTACAACATTTGAAGGGACTGACTAGACTTCCTCCTAGTTGAACAACTTACGAGATGGTGGCGATCTTGTTTGGTACAGTTTGAATTTTCCTTCAACAAAGACAAGCATTGCTGAGCGCTAAGCAAGCCATTCAACGTAGGACATGCTAGTCAGTGCATGGAACTCATGCATATATCCCATGTGGATTCTACTGCCGGTTTCATTTCTATCTACTACAGCACAAATGGGGCATTATTGGTAATGTCAGTTATAGGAACGATCCCAGTTGCTATTATCGGCCGTCTGTGCCGAACACAGTCAGTTAACTTGATGTTCATTTTTCGCTTCATAACCATTCAAGATTGTAAAAGTGGGTATTGCAAAGAGATTTATTATTCTTCGACCCTCCATATTAAGTAGGAATAATCATTCATGAAAAGTTGGATCGATGTACCACAGAGATAAGTGTAAGTGGCCCAATAGGAGCCAACGGCAATCAGTACCTGCCACGAAAGTCCGAAGTGACCATCCAAAAACACTTTGATTCGTTTTGCTAAATTCGGTAGTTCTTGGGAGGATGAAACTTCCTTGAAATTTCTTCGAATTTCGTTGATGATCATAACTTGATCCACCAAGGACATATCGGCACTGATCACTCGAACGTCACTTGGAAGAATAGTAGCTGCTTTTGATAGCCGTTCCTCGCGTATGCTAATCCTTGCAAGGAAAGTTCAAATAATTATGAAACTATACATTGATATTCTCCCCAAGGCACCACAAAGGCTAATAGGGCAAAAACACTTTTGGCTTCTGTACAACTACGTACCTAGTATGAAAGGATAAATAACCGATTACTTGACTCATTGGTACCTTCCGCGCTTCCTACCCATGTGTAATGGGCTGATGACGCCAACAAGTATGGCGACGGAACACCCCCAATAGAAACAAACTCGTTGGGAAAACTCACACATCCGGGAAATGTTTGGTTATTTAGGCAACGGAATCGGTCGTGCTGGTGTTCAAATGAGAGTATGGGAACACTGTGAGACTGAATTCAGTGTCTTTCTGCTGTCAGTTTCAACTATGTGACTCCTACAGTCTAATCTTTGTATCCGAGCTATGGTTCTCAGTGCGATGCACACGTAAAGCAGTCGATCTCTATAGGATCAGTGAGGTGAACAAGCTGACGCCAGATGAGTAAGCACACAAATAGCTTGCCGATTGACAACCAATTTACTGCATGGGATGTTGGAACGGTACTACAGTCGAACCTGTCTAAGGCGACCACTCAGTGACCGACAAAACGTGGGCGCCAACGACAAGCGGTCACTAAAGCAGGTTGGACTGTATAAACGTATTAGTGCTTCATTTATTAATTAAAAACTGAATCTGTTCTCCAATTTGTTTCCTCTTCAAGAAGCTGTGCTGCTTTTGGGGATGAATATACTGCATTATTTTCATTTAAGAACGGAAAATCCCGGTGTACGCACTGATAAGTATAAGGGCGAACTCGTTAAATACCCATGGTTGTCCACCGTTTATTGTACAACATAAAACACGATATGTACGCCGAATCGGGCAATGTGCTCCTTCAACGTAAAGCCCGCGATCATAGCCGGTGAACACACCTTGTAAAGGAAATTAGGCAGGTGTCTGTTTATCAGCCTGATACTTTCTATTAGCCGTTTATAGTAAGCGACTCCTGATCCATGGGTGAAGTTTAAGATCAGTTGATCGTACTTTCAGTTAACCGTCTGTTAGTGCCTGACAATAACGAACAGAATTAATACAACTAGTTGATCGGATATTTTTGGATTTACATGCTTTTATTGTTCAGAGCTTATGAATGAACAAGACAAATACCTGGTGCATATAAGTATCAAGATGGCCGAATTGATCGAAAGTCATTTCAACATTAATCACGGTCCAGATTGAGATAGCGTGTCGCAAGCTGTCCACACAATGGATGCTTTAACTGAATCCACGATAAATGCTTAACGCGTTTTCGCAAGCATTATCCCTCGTTAACTGGGCCGCCAGTAATGCTCTCATTTCGTTTTTGGCACCATGTAGAGCGCGATTAGTAACTGATTCATACTTTTAAGTCAGTTCAAAATGCTAACTGCTTACTTAAAATAATCATGACAATACAGAAATGGTAACTGTCGCTAATGACTTACACTTCTTCCGGTTTGAGACCCAACTTCTCGCAAAACATGGGGAGCGTAATACTTCCGTTTTGCATCGGATCGAATAAAGCATTCCATGTCTGCAGACAAAGGGGAACGATTACCCGGATCTCAAACAGAATGCACCGATCGAATCCAACCCCTTTACACGTCACTACTTACTTGCACCATGGTTTTGTCAAGATGATTCGCACTAGCATAGTGCTCCAGTTCTTCCACAGTAATCTCTCCATTGTGATCCTCGTCAACCGCAAGGAAAACATCCACAAATGGGTCCATGAGTTACTAGCCCTTCAGCTTTACTTTACGAGTAGCTGTAAATGGCGCTTTTATATGATAGCAAATAATGAAGTTCAGTCGGACTAATCAACCATCTATGTGAACTATAATCTTAGAAGGAGTTGAAGCATATGGAGCTGGTGCTTTGCACTACAGATTTTGCGTTTAATTTGATGCACTGCTCCAACTCTCAAGCGATTAACACGACTGCGCTTTAATTGAGCCGCTGCTACTCAACGTTTTACTCAGTGAAGCTGTCGGAGCAAGATTGACATTCCCGCGTGGCACATATGAAGACAATGGAGTTGAGCATACCTGGGAAATGAAGGCGTCAAATAACTGGATTTTGACCGCCTCTAATAGAGCAATCTCACAGAAGGACAAGAGTGACACGGATTTCAAGTACATCAGCTCAAAAGTATCTCACGTGCTATGTGCTTCTCAAACCCTGCGAATGAATTTCAGTCTGCTTTACGTACGTTTTGTATTTGACGCTCTATATAAGAGTCCGAACATTCAGATGTCGAAATTCTTGCTTAGCTGAACAAAACATTGCAGTTATTTATAATATGTAGCCATGTAGTGACGAAAGCGCTACCTATCTGGTCTGAGTACAAGATAATGCAGATTGTGACCACTCACCGTATTGGACGGATCAGCGCTTATCTGATTTTGGGTATTTTTATTCGATTCAGATAAACCTACCTAAAATTGTGAGAAATGGGCACACATGTCTTAGCAACCTTACAGACCTACAGTACACATCCCAACTTCTCAATGGGCACAGTAACCACTTGGTTTATCGTAGACAAAAATAGATAGCACTTGACCAGTCCCATATTAGGAAAGCATGGATAAACCGAAGAACTAATTAACGTCAGCAAAATAAATCATTGGTATTTGGACTATTATAACATTCCATTGATCACACCAAATGTCTGCGCTATGTTGACGTCCCATCAATAAAGAATTCATCGTGTTATGTAAGCGTTTTATTTGAATATCGGCAATTTGGTGAGGACAAAGTAAGTGAGGAGGAACCTTCTTACTGAATGCACACGAGGAGTGAAGAAACTGTGGCGGCATTGCAACCAGCTACACTGCAGAGACAATTTCGACTGATAACTTTTAGTGTAGAAATGTGGTTAGGTTTCAGCAGGCTGAGGTTGCTCTGGATCTGATGCATCATTAGCATATTGTCACACAAGCACTTATATTGTGCACTGGAGACTCATAGGGTTTTGAGTCTCAGTTTGCAATGGAGATGGACTAGTTACGATCTTAGTCACCCTACTTTACGGAGTTCATAGTGCGACAACGTCATCTTCTGCCAGGGCTATCAGGCGTGAATGGTGTATCCTGAATGAAGCCTAACGTAAGCGTAGAGTATCAAGGAGAAGATAGAGGAGTCAACCCATCAGAATGCGCTCATCATAAGACCAAGATGATACCGTCTCGGCTTAGGGTAAACAGAAAAACCTTTTACCAGCACTCATTGGTGACAATCAATTAAGGCACACTACATTAGTCGATCCCCAAACTCTACTTAATGGAACAATGGTAAAATAGATTTATCACGGATACAAAGGCAAATGCTTAAAAAGTTCCGTAATTAAAGAGTGAGACCAAAACCTGCATGTATCAAGAAAACAAAGTGTATCACTGGAGTCCTCTTAATTTTCACAAGTGCACACAGTTTTGTTACGTTGTCCTGCTACCTGTCAACTTGTGTTAAATCATGTACTGTAGGCGATGTACTATACCCTCAAATCGAAGTTCCAAATCAGCTAACGTACGAACGGTGATGACAGAATGCGAAAGTATATTCCACGGCTGGGATACACGAATTGAAGTTCCGACAGCATGCAACGTGAGGATCCTTGAGGATCTGATACACCTATATAAGATCACCTCGCAGACGACGTTAATGTGTAAAAAAAACCCAGGGTGGTTAGTTTAAATTGCTACTATAGATGGAGCAATCTCTTAACAATTTTTGCCACCCTCCGTTGTGCATTCTCAAGGTCAGTCTTGTCCAATGTTGGCAAACGGTTTCATATCTGGATGGCTTATTCCACATGTGGCCTCCCACAAGTGTTGAGCATTTGCGGAAAGAAAGTAGGATGGAACCGGTTAAGCGGTCTTCACAAGAGGTCAAAGTGTTGACCAGCTGTTTTCACTGCTTTCTCAACCTGTCGTGAGCATCCGAGATCTTCTTACATTAGTGCTCCAAGATCGATTTCATGGGAAGTGTGCAGCGAAAAATGTGTTATTCTAGCCGCTATTCCTATGTGCTCTGGTAGCATATGCACATTATTTTGCATTCGATAGCACTAAACTCCAACATACTCTGAGCTGGCCACTTGTAAGCCCTGTCGCGAGCGCCTTGCACTGCTGTGGTTGTACCTGCGACCGATACTACCGACTGACAAGCCTAATCATCAAACGTACGCACGGGTTGGGCGGAATGATTTGTACTGAAGCTATTGTGATTCTACAAGCATTCATATTTAAAGATACAGAGTTGACTTACGAATAGGTGAATAGACTCGCAAACGGATGTATAATAAATCCAGTCAAGTTCGAACGGCAGCAGTAATTGATGCTCCGTAAAGGCAGCCAAGTAAAACAAAGGACTTCAGGTTATGGTTAACAGGCGGAAATGTTATCTAATCAGAAGTATAACATATAAATGACCGCGAATGTCAGATGGTTCCTTCGGATAAGTATCGGTTAGAATCGAACACCTGTTCAATATGCAAATTGTCGTATGCAGATGCGTGACGTAGTGCTATGTGAAACAAAGTGAACTACTCATAAACGATCAGTACTATCCGGCAGCTTAGCGAACTGCAATTCACAGTGGTCGTCCACTTAGATCGCTTGATAAATCTATATACCGTCCGCAAAGAGTAGAAAGCTTGTTAAGCACTCCCGCGTGGTCATTTATAAACACTAGTAATAACTATGGACAATGAGCGATTATTCACCACGGGTAAGAATGCAGGTGCTTGACAATTTCCGAAGGATGGGTGGGGTGGAAACTACAAATGCAAGATATGTAAATGAGCTGTTTAAGCATCTGCCGAGTTAACTGCGTTTCTGGATAAAGATAGCATAAATGTGACTTGGATATAAGCATACAAAACAACATGGGAAAAGTTATACGTGATGTGTGTGAAAGCAATAATACCAAATAATTGGGACTATGGGATACGTAAATCCAGTATGAATACTGTTGCGGAATTCGGTCATTCAGGGACAAACGGTTTAACCGACAGGGCAAGCTCTTCGCAATTCACAGTACGTTTGACAAGGCCGTCTGCCAGATATAAACTGTCCGTTCAATTGCATAAACAGTGACTCTTATAAGCTGCTGAAGTTCCTCTTTTGACTCTGTTAAACAAACATTGCGCACTCTACACGAACGTCGGCCAATGCGTGTCCAGTGATCGAACCCGTTAGTGCGTCTCCCATGGGCTGTCCAATTCGCTTGTTGGCTCCGTCAGTTCACTGCGATGGGACACTATCATCACCCACTCTTTTTTCGTGTCATTTCGCATTCATATTGCTAGACCCTTCGTGCATCTTGCTTCTCCGCGCTGTCTTTGCTGTAGCTGCGGCAGTGGTCTCCTTGCCTTACTTGATACACAATGCCGTAAGGCCGCACTTTATTTCGGCTGTCACGTCACTCGGTGTGATCATTCTATTTCTCCACACACGTTCTTGGATGTGCGCTCTTTCCAACCAGCTCGATGAGCACTAATCTGTGCTTGCCATCTCTTGTATCGGACTAGTGTGGATCATACAGTTACTCCCGTACTCAGTTTTGGAACATTCTTCGTCGAGTTCTGTCTGTGAAAGCACATCCCTCCCGAGATTTCCGAGAATAATATTCGTCTCATCCGGTAGAAAAAGCTGAGGACTCTCAAAGGACTTTACAACCATCACTACAGGCGGCAGCATAATAAAGACACGAGATATTTTGCTTTGTTCACCCACTAAATATTACGTCTGAGACACTTAGGGAAGCTTAGCAACGACCTGCACGCCTCGGCGCTTAACGATACTCGAGCAATACACGTCGCATCTTTGTGTGCCTGTGTGCGCACCGCTAAATCCGGCAATCTGCGCACTAGCGCGAGAGTGAGAGGGAGGCGTTATGATAGCCACCTTTATCGGCGGATTGACCCTGACGCTGAAACAATCAATCCAGGGTCCTGGGTTAGACCAATCAACACAAGTTCAGTTGCCCAAATGTGCGCTAATAACCAATCCGCAGTGCTTAAATATGCCTGTGGAAAGTGCAATAAGATGACCAAAATAGGGCTTTCCTGTGGAAATTGCTTGACCTATTTTCATACGAAATGAGGGAAAATCAAACCAAGCGAGTGAAAGCTGGTTGACAACTGGCCTGACTAATTCTGGTTCTGTGCAAAGCGTAACTCGGTCCCACTATTTTAAACCGTAATTACACTGGCCCAGAAGTATGCTAGGCTTGCAGACGTAGTTGAGAAGATGCTGGCCAACAAACTTGCTTCGGTAGGAACAAGCATAGCAGAAGGTCTGCCACAGGCTCCTCCGAAATAATTTGGAACACTAATAGCTCGGCTTGGTTGCTCACCTGTTGATCGTTTTTCCGAGCTTGGTAAAGAGTTTGCATACGTTTCACCACCATGCGAGGTAGCATCTTCAGTGCGGTAATAGGCAGTGTATAATGCTGCTTATTGAATCGTCAGTCCGTCATCCATGGGCATCCGTCATTCGCCGGCGAATCGCAAGACGGGGTTCAGCCGTAGAAACAAATGGGCAGAGATCACGTGGCGCAAATCGAAATTGCTACCGTCAAAAGTCACCTGCCCGTGGATGACGGACTGACAATTCACTAAGCAGCATTATACACTGCCTATTACCCCACTGAAGATGCCACCTCGCAAGGTGGTGAAACGTATGCAATCTCTTTACCAAGCTCGGAAAAACGATCAACAGGTGAACAGGCT